ATAAACATAGTTTTGCTTAGCTATTCCTATTTCTTGACACTGGTATGACTTATTATACGCCTGAATTTACAGATGAGAAAATTACAATAACTACAGACAAATCAAATTTCCTAAACTTAGAGGCAAGCATTGTTCTCCAAAATTTCGTTTAAAACTTTGAACTAATAAGGCTAGCCGTCCCTAATTTAGCAGAGTAAGAGAAGGCAGCTAGTCATCACACACCCACCGCCAACTCTTGGGCTACTCTTTTTCCAACGAATAGTGGGATTGACCGTCACTTATAACGCTCCCACGGCTAAAAGGGCGAGCATGTTTGGTGGGACGGTGATTCGAACCCACGATCCTCAGATTACGAGTCGAGCGCCCTAACCACCTGGCCATGCCGGGCCACTTCAAAAAGCACACTGATACGTGTATCGCACTTGAAATAACTGTTAATTTCATCCTTCCATAACTTGTTTAGAACATATCTTTAGTAAAGTATATTAAGGTAATGTTTCTAAATTTCCATGCAGGTGTTGTATGTATAATTATGGCATTATTATTATTAAAGGGATGTCTGAAAGTCATAAACATGTATTAATCCTTTGTATGCTTCCATTTCCTGGGGAGAGAAAAGTCCATCTCCAGTTGGTATGAGTTAGAATTTTTTACCTTTAATATGTCATTTGAAATATTTGTTGACGTAGCAATTTATGGATTATGGGATGCAGTACTTAGACCCTTCTGTTTGAATTGAAAATTCTTCTTCTTGTCATCTTTCTTTTTCTTTTTTTTTTGCGCAGACGTTTTGAAAAGCATCAGCTGCAAGTTAGAGAAAACAAAAGAAGCAAGCCGATTGGCAATAAACAGAAATAATAATTTTGTTCATTTATTCACTTAAGTTTTTTTTTCCTTTGCTGTCGGTGCTTTATTTATCTTCTGCAAAACATTTCCCGAACTTGATGTATTGCTCCAAATTTTAACTATCTGCTGGATATCACACATAGTGTTCACAACTTATACCCTATAATGAGCTCAACGTTAAGATAAGTTGTCATCAGAAATTCCAAATGTTTTTATAAACTTCACAATAGGGATTTTCCTTGTAATATTTTCATAAGAAGTTTTTTTGAATTCAATGGTTAACTAACATAAACTACACGTAATAGTTCATGTTATAAGAGATTTTACCAAATTTAATGATATCTTAAATATATCTTTACAACATTAGCACATTATTAGGATTCCTTGACATTTGTATAACTTTGCATTCACTTGCATAAAGGAAAGCTATTATATGATGTGTCAAGTGATTGATAAATCTCTATAAATGTAAGGATGTAGTTAGGTCATGTTTAGTTTGCAAGACAATGTGCAAGAATAAGGATCTTTTCGAATTTTAAAGGGGGTAAGATTGAGATGCTTGTCTAGCAACACCGACCATCCTTACCAAAGAGGTTGCTTTGACCAATTGTTAAATATATGTATCATGTAACGAATTTGTTATTATATATTTATTTTAATATCAACGTTTGTTTAGATTAAGTTTATATTTAGAAACATACATGGCGTATAG